AATAGAAGAAAGGCAATTAAATGTAAATGAACTGACTCAAGCACTAGCAATTAGATCTCATTTGTCAAAAATACATCCTACTAGTAAAACTTGCCAAAAATGTAATAGATTTGGTCATGAAACATGGTCCTGCAATTCACATATCAAATGTCATTTCTGTGGAAAGTTCGATCACTATGCAAATAAATGCAGATTTAAGCTTAAGAAGGAAAATAACAGATACAATAATGCTCATGCGAATAATGTAAGTGGTCAAAATTCCAACGCCTTTGTAGGAACAACAGATGAAAATTTAGTTGAATAGTTTATGGATTCTGGAGCTTCGGAACACATGTGCAGAAGTAAAGACGTATTTACAGATATGACTATTGGAGATCAGAAGAAAGTAAAAATTGGCAACGGGACTATGTTACCTGTTAAAGGAATCGGTTGTGTTACTTTAGAAGCTTATAACGGTAAAGTGTGGATAAAAACTAATATGTCGGATGTTTTATATATACCAGATTTAAAGGTAAATTTATTTTCGGTAAGTGAGGCTGTTGACAAAGGTTACTATGCCACTATAGATACTGAATTATGTAAAATATTAGACTCAAATAACTCTGTAAGAGCTATTGCTGAAAGGTGTGGAAATCTTTTTAAAATGATTTTTCGTTCATACTAAAAACCTATTTCGTGTAACGTTGTTCTTGATTTGAATGACTGGCATGAAAAACTTGCACGTCAAAATTTGACACAAATCAAATATAAATTTGACAGAGCACGGTATAACTTACAAAAATATTCTATTTGTGAGAGTTGTTATGCTGGTAAACAATATAGGGATCCATTTAAGCGCAGTGAAAGCCGTGTAAAATTAGCATGCGAACTAATTACACGCAGATCTTTGTGGACCTATGAAAGTCACATCAATAGGTAATTCAAAATATTTTCTTCTGATGAAAGATGATTTCCGAAATTATAGAAAAATATATTTTATCAAGAATAAATCTGAAGTAAAAAATCGCATAGAAAATTACATCAAATTAGCAGAAAATCAAACTGGACATAAAATCAAAATTTTAAGGATGGATAATAGTTTGGAATTTGTTATCAGCGAGTCTTACATTTTGCGGACGTCTATGAACCGCAATCGTATGAAGAGGCTATAAATAGTAGCAAAGCTGATAAATGGATTGGCGCAATGAAAAAAGAGATTGAGTCTCTTGCAGAAAATGAAACTTGGACTGTTGTCGCAAAACCCGATGGCTGTAAACCAATCGAACAAAATGGCTTTTTAAAATTAAAAAAGGAGAAGATGGAAGTGAATTGTATAAAGCGAGTTTAGTAGCCCGTGGTTTTAAACAAGTAGTTTTCATTTTGCCGTCAGAGGTTTATTCACCTGTTGCACAACTCACCACATTTAGAATGTTTGTTGTTGTTAGCATCCAACTAGGTATTCACATCCATCAAATGGATATGTGCATTGCTTTTCTTAATGGAAAGATAAATGAAATTGTTTATGTTAGTGTACCTATAAATTTTAATGTAGGTCCAAATGAAGTATGTAAGCTAAATCGGGCTCTGTACGGTTTAAAAAATCTCCTAAATATTGGTACGACACATTAGATGAAACGTTACGCAAATATAGTTTTGTCGATAGTCAAAATGATTATTGTTTTTACGTTAAAGTAAGTTCTACAACTAAAACTTATTTTTTAGTTTATGTTGATGATTTTCTAATAATGTCTACAGATGAAAAGGAGTTACTGAAAGTTTATTAATTTCATAAAGAAAAAATTAAAGGTGAAAGATTTAGGAATAGCCAAATGCTATTTGTGTTGGATGTACTACTCTAAAGCAATCTGAGTATATAGCAAAGATGCTTAAAAGTTTCGACATGTATGATTGTAGGGCTGTGTCCACACCGAGGGACCAAAATGTTAAGAACAGTTTAGTAAAACTAAATAATTCTGAAAATGAAACTACTGAGCTAAAGTGTAGAAAAGCTATTGGTGCTATTATGTATTGTATGTTAGCAACAAGACCAGATTTAGCAAATAGTATTTCAATATTAGTCATGTGCTACTGAAGAATTATGGATTGCTATCAACAGGGTCTTACGATATCTTAGAGAAATTATGGGTTTAGGTTTAGTTTCTGTTAAAAATGATAATAAAGCTTAACTTAAAGAAAATCGACAACTGAATATGTTTTTAAAATATTTAACTGTGCTGTGTCTTGGATGTCTAAAAAGCAACAATGTGTAGCCTTGTCATCTACTGAAGCAGAGTACATTGCACTTAGTCAGGCATGTACTGGGGCTGCGTGGTTAAGTAAACTGTTAAATGATACATTGCTGTTCGATAAGGTACTTACAATATTATCTTCATACAAAATATTGTATGAAGATAATCAAGGATCAATAAAAATCGCTGAAAGCCTTGACTTAAAACGTTTAAAGCATATTAATATCAAGCTTAATTTTGTTCGAGATCAAGTAGCCAAAAAGGCTATTATTTTGAAATATGTAAATACGAAAGAGCAATTAACAGATATTCTTACAAAATCCCTAGATAAAATTTTATTTGAAAAATTTCGGATATTGTTATGATTACAAAATGTTGAATAGTTGTTTTTGAATAAGGTGTAGGTTATTATTGTGTAGGTGTAGGAAAGACATTTTTAATTTGTTAATTTAATGCTAAGATTGATGATGCTATTAGGTTTTCTTAAGAGGGGGTGTTGAAGGTTTGTAATAAAACCTTATTACTATTATAAATGTTTTGTCTATTATAAAATATTATTAGTAAATTATTGACATTGTAAGTTTAAAAAAAACCTATGGCCTAAAATAAAAATGTCTTATATGTGTTAAAATACTTCTCGATAGTTGTCATTTTTGGTGTGTTTTCACAACGGTAAAAACCCGAAATGAGAAAGTATTAAAAAAAAACATTAGATCCTTAAATCAAACTAGATGTCGCTACGGTACGTTCTTGATTTCTCCATGACAACACTTCTGGTTTTCTTTCACGTTTAAAAGTAAATGAGGAAGTATTTGAAAAAATAAACTACTAAAATTATGTCACTAGATGGCAGCACAAATTGTTGGATCTAAACGTCAATTCATGAAGTCAAACCAAAGAGAATAAAATTTTCAGTGTTGTTATGGATCTGATAATTTGGATTAATATCGAGTTGAAATTTAATTAGTTCGAGTTATGCAAACGCAACTCAATTAATACAAAGTAATCTTTGAATAAATTTCTTTTTTATTTGTATAGATAAAAATGGACACTAACATAATGGAAATGAGCACAGAGGTTTTTAATTTATTAGAGGTTTTTAAAGTGGCATTTAGCTACGGTATACAATAATATTACCGTCAAATAGTTTTTATTAATAAAATACTTATGAAATAGTAGGCCTAGGAATTTTTCATTATAATATTTAACAAAAGTTCTGAAAACAATAACAACTAGGTAAGTTAGTTTTATTGCTATTAGTTGTTTGTTGAACTTACATCAAGAATCAATAATATTTTATATTATGTATGGTAAATGAATGAATAAGGTTTATTAATCAGCAACAAAAGTCATAAAAACGATAATTATAATAAAAATCCGTTTATTATCTATATACTTACCCGATATGTATCAAATACACTAGGTATTCGTACAAAATAACATGACTTCCGGCTAAAATGACGTTTGCGCAAAGTGTAACGTGCAAATAACTTGTGCTTTAAAATCTCTGCGGTGGTGTCGTGTGCGTTAGGTCGTTAAGTCCCTCAAATATAGTATATTCGAAATTAAAAAAGCAGCCCTTGCTGAGTTTCTTGCCGATTCTTGTCAGCACAAGATCTTCCACCTTAGTTTTGCGAACGATTGGCAAAGTTTTCGACTTTCAGAAGTACTATGTAATATGTACAGCCTAGACTGAATTGATTTTGATATTTATATTAATATCATTAGTTTTGTGGATCCATAATGAAACATACAAATACAAGCTGAATTCTACGCTCCACTTTTTGTTCTTCATTCCAAACCTGAATTCGGATGAAAATTACGAGCAACCAATAAGTTAGCTCATCACTAATGTTGACGTATCAACCAAACATAATAAACAACTTAAACTTACGATTAAAAAATTAAAATTAATTTGTAAGTTAGATATTATAAGAAACACAAAACAATGTCATATTTATTAATTTTCGATACTCAGTTTACTTTCATTATGTCAGAAACAAAATTTGAATGAATATCATAAACAAAATCCAAACATCGCGAGTGACATCTAATATGATTTCAAGAACTAATTTTTATTTTTTAAATACGTCCTTATTAGTTTTCAAAACTCAATAAACAACTCATCTTCTATTTGTACTTTTTCGTATTTGTATTGATATCTAAGTTTCGAACTATTTAAATTTCATTTTTTAAATATGTTACTTAAAAGGAACGGAGATGACTGTCTTTAGTGCATTCGTTTCCTGCAAAAATTAACTTTTGCAGGAAACAACTACTTACTACTACTTTTGCAGGAATCACTTCCTCATTGACATTATAAGAAACCAATATTCACTCCAATCGATTACGAATATTGTCTTTAGAATCGCTCCCTTCACCTTTCATTTACGGAAAAATATACCAAAATAATGTCTTTGGAATCGAACATTCGTTTGATAGAGTAACGAAAGCGAAATTTCGTTTTAATTTCGTCTGGTCCTTTTGAGCAGCGAATACTAAAGAGTAGCGTTCGTTCACTCGTAGGTACGTCTAGCTTCCTTTTAATAAACAGAATAGTAACACTAGAAAGTAATGGTAACACCGGTAACTGGTTACCTAGGCAACATAATCAATAACAACAAATAATAAAATCATCGAAAGATTATTTCACATTTTTATCACAAAATAATCTGCAAAACAAATAAAAAACATTGTTATTAAATATTTCTCTCGTGCTAGTTTATAAAAAAAGCAAATGAATTTTATGTCAATCTGCTCAAGCAATAAAGAATGGGTTTATATAAACTATTTAGTACTAATGTCGAAATACAGTACAAAAGCTGTTTACTATCAAAAGCTACGCTATTCACATTGATAACTACACTGCTTACTATTATATTGCCCTTTCTTATTGCTCACAGAAGTAGAGGTATTGTAGCTTTCAATTTTATACCATCAATGCCAATTTTAACATAATACTTACCGCTTTAGAAATGTTTTTTTAGGATTTTGGCTTAGGACACATAATTTTTATGAGCATCCAGTTATACACTATCCATATGAGTACATATTAGTAGCAGAAACTGATGATCCCAGTCAGCCCATTGTATGTAGTGAAGCTGCTGTGTTGAATCAAGAAATATTTGTTGGAGAAGAAAATTGTGTAGAAATTCAGGTATGACTAAGGTTATAGGAGGAAAATATATTTGTTATAACATTAATACATACATAATATTTCATACATTTTGACACTTGTTTGTCATTCGCCTAAAATGTATATTTTTTTCATTCCATTGTACTAGGCTCAGGAATATGATTTTAATGATGATGGCAAAGCTGATGCTTTAGAATTCAATTTCCACCTTATGATACCTCAAGAAAGGACTATCTCATCTGTGATAGCAATGTTAGCTTTAGATTTTCAATTGGAGGTATGTATTTATTTGTATTTTTTTATACACATATGCATATTCTCTTCCTAATCATCAATGTCTTTTTTTCAGACAGTCTGTCCACTTCACATGCAAAGCCTGGCCTTTATCCAGAAATCATTTACAGTGCCTCCCTCGGGACTAAAATATTATGGAGATATTGAGTTCTATCAAACTGTTCACTTACCCTGTCTTCGTAATATTGTTGACAAAAAGTATAACAGCTCTTTGATGAGTTATTTTAGAAGCAGTAGTGAGAACATTGTAGACTTTATTATGGTGAACTACTTCCAAAGAGATAGTATGCTATAATTTACTTTAAATACAACTTAAATTCTCTTAGATATAAATAACACTTTAAAAATTTCTATATCACTTTACAGTAACAACCCAATTGAAAACTCTATACTCCAGAAGTCAGAATGGGCATACAGGTACCATGAAGATTGATTTATATTTAAGGATTCCTGAAATGAAAATAAGGTATACTCCCAATTTATTGCAAGAATTGAAATGGGCATGGCCTCAATACTTATCTCTTGTAATAATATTCTATTGGATCTTCAATAGGATCAAGATGTTTGTATTCAATAACCGACTTCTGATGGCTTGGGAAGTAGTGCCATGGAAAAAACAGTGAAAAACTTTAATGAACATTCATATATAAAATATACTATTCCATATGCCAAATGTTGTATATAAATTAATTAATTTAAGTGTATCAATCGTATATTCACATATTACATCTGTCCAGTATGTACATTTAATATTCAATACTACTTATCTACATTTTAATTTACACTTTACATTCAAATCTATTACAGTTACTGATGAAGTGTTAAAGCAGGTAATGCCCCTCCAAACTTATTCTGATTGTCCAACTCTGCTCTGTTATCTTCAATAATAAAAGTTTTTCCACTGTAGTCATCAAGTTGTACAAGTAAATACCGGCACATGTAATTACCATAATCATTCTGAAAAGAGCATATAATAGATGAAGGCTTTGTTAGATTCAGAGCATTACATAATATTTTTTATTGAATAAAAAAATAATAAGCACCTGTTTCATATCCAATTCAACAACAGCTTTGTTCCTAATGCCCTTTATGTAAAATTTCATCCTCATATGTTTGACTCCCTCTTTTTCATAAACTACATGGCTGACATGTGTTCGTCTTCTTCTTGTGGTTTCTTCACCATACCCTTTAATTGGAGCACCAAGTGCATCTTCTACTCGGGGATCCTGAAACAAAAATAGTTTACAAAAAAGTTGACATAAAAATTACTACCTTGTTTTAAATTTTTCTAAACACAAATTCAAGAATGAAGTAAGATTCATAATAAATACACAAGAAATGTGTAAAATTTACAAAAAAAAATATGACTGCCATATTTTAAATTTTATAAACATTAAATATGTGCTTATAGAAATATCTAGTTCTTTAATTGAGATAGTACTTATATGAAATTATTGATACCCGATGGTAAAACGGGTATAGAGAAAGACCAGGGAGCTTTTAGATCACATGAGTTTATTTACCACCAAAATTATATATATGTACTTTATAAAAACATAAACAGCACCGACAACAGCTTTACGAAGAGAGACTTACAAATATAAACAATATACACGCATGTGCAGAACAGATTGTCAATATTTAAATTAAAACTAAAAAGATCTTAAACCAAGGAGGTCTCCCTCAACAATTATGATTAGCATAAATGATAGAATGGTGTTTTCACTTACATTTTTACATTTCTCAAGAGCCGTAGAGTATATACTGTTGGCACTATTACTTGAAAACAATTCTCTAAATACGTAGAAGAAAATTACTCCTGTAACTCCCACCCCAAGTAATATGATACCTGTATATGATACAGTTTTGGTGGTTTCTTTAATTTTTTCCCCCAAAGGTCGAACATCAGTGGAGACATCTGCTCTTTCTTGGCTTTTCGTCAATCCGGTGTTTTTATTAGTAGAATAACACCTGCCATAAACAAATTTAGTTGATCCAATCACAACTGGTACCAAATCTACAGTTTTTGTTGTACGCAAAACAGGTAATAATTTCGAAATGAGTGTCATAGTATTGTAATTTCCTTTAAAAAAGCACGTATAATAACAACAGAATATATACAAATTATGCTGAAATTCCTATAAAAAACGAACTTCAGGATTCTGAAGCCATAGGCCCTAGAAAGAAACATTGACATTGACATACATCAGTTCAGTGTTACCAACTCTCAAAAATATTTATCCCTAAATCTAAGTCAAAAACCCCCTAAAAATGACTCAATTATTTGAAAATTCCCCTAAAAATATATTTAATAAAAATAATATATAAAATAAAAGTAATATGTAGTAATATTTCTTTATTAATATATTATCTAAAACGGTATAGTTATATTTTATATCAATATCTTCTGAAGAACCGCATTTTTAAAATCATATATATTCACATTACATAAACTTAACATTTTTGAAGATGGATTAAATGTAGAGCATGATCCACCATTCTAATTACATTAGATGTTATCCAGTTCGAAGTCATTCATTGGGTAAAAAAAATATTTGAATGACTATTATTGGATTTAATAGTTCTGTTAGATTCAGAATTACAGAATATTATGTATTCAGAAAACCCCTAAAAATACCCCTAAACATATAAAACCCCCAAAAAAATCCCATCCCACTCATTTACCCCCTAAATTTGGGGGGAAAACCCCTAAGTTGGGAACCGTGCATCAGTTACATCACTCATGTTGACGGACAGTCGCTGTCGCTGCCATTGTCTATTAATGTTGTCAATACCATTTTGCCATAACTTTGTGTTGAGATACACAGACTTTATAGATCAATGTAGGAAAATATTACGCCGATATTCAAGATACCATCCCTCATAAACCGTGGTTTTGTAAGTTTAAAAATGTATCTAATACATGTACATTCACTATTTATGTCATCTCTAGTTGGGACACGCAAACACTCCCGTTTTCTTAGCAAAAATTAGAATCAAAGACAGCTCACTATGTGAATGCGTAAGGGTTGGACGTAGGAATAGACGACCATATTTTTTCAATTGTCTTAAAAATCCCTCTTCTTTGTATGACGTCATTCCATCACATATTCCCAAACCCACAAATTTTAAAACCGTCTTAAGATATGTTAACTTCCCTTTAATAATCATCTTTTATAAATGGCGTGGCAACTGAAGTTACCAATCTATTGGAGTTCTGGTATAATAATCAAACCAATGTAATAAAATGGTCTGGAACATTCTCGGAGCCGTACGGGTTCGACAATGAGGTGAGACAGGGGGGTTGACTTCGCCTCGACTGTTTAACTTTTATATCAGGGGTGGGCAGACTTTCATTAATGGCGATCTATATCAATAAATTGAGACGACAAGCGATCGACTTGCAATAAGACAATATTTTTTTATGTTAAATCGTTTATTGTAGGTATTGCGCACATATCACTATTTAAATATACTTTTATTTACAATTAAAGAAGTACAGTTTCTTATTATACAAGTTAATAACTAATAACTACTAAAAATAAGTATGAAGCCAATCACATGAACTAAGAGTGTTTTTATCAGTTTTCGGGCCTCTCTGGACTGATTTACTTAGAGGTCGATGCATGGCACTGCGTATTTTCTGCTAATTTCTCATAGGAAGGCACGTATTTAGTAAGTGCCAAACATAAACAGGAAGACAAATGTTCGTCGGTAAGTCGATTGCGGTATTTGGATTTAATTATTTTCATTTCAGAAAACGCAGATTCGCACAAATACGTCGACCCAAACAAAGCAGTTAATTGCTGTGCGATTTGTTGGAGACTTGGGTATTTTTCTTGGGTCAAAAGAGACCAAAAACTGATATCTGTTGCTTTGGCTTTTAGGTGAACATCTGAAATGATCTGTATCATCTCGTTTTCGAGAGAAGACAAATCCATGTCAAAAGTGTTCGATATTTCAGAAGCAGTAATTTCAACATCCACACAAGAAAAAGGATAAATCATGAAAGTAACAACGTTCGTCAATTTTTGTAAGTCAGAAAAACGTCTTTCAAACTCGCTGAGAATATTTCCAAGTTCTGTTTCGTATTTATTATAATTTATTACGGCGCTTGTTTTTGCTTTCAAACACGCAAAATTTTTCAAGTCCTTTTTTTTCAGTTGGTTGATCAGAAGCTGCAATTTACTTTTAAATGAGTTAATTGTGCTAATCATGTCCATAATAGTTTTATCTTTCCCTTGTAGCTCCAGGTTTATAGAATTCAAATGACCAGTCACATCAGTAAGGAAAGCCAAATCACACAGCCAACTTTCACTTTTAAGAATCTCCGTGTCATCACCCCTTTGATCCAGAAAAGAAATGATTTCAGGTAGTAATTCTTGAAACCGTTCTAAGAACTTCCCCGGCTCAGCCACCTTACGTCAGTATGGAGCAATAAATCTGTGTGCTCAGATTCGCTGGCCTCCAATTGCACTTTGAAGAGTCGTCGTTGCAAGCTTCTGGCTCGTATAGAATTTACGATCTTCATAGTGATGCTCATCACATCTGCCATGTTCAGTACTTTCGAACACAACACCTGCTGATGAATGACGCAATGAAAAGAAAAAAAAGATGGGAAGTCTTCATTAGCTCTGCACAGTGCCACAAATCCATTAGTCTTTCCAGTCATTGATGGTGCTCCATCTGTTGTTATGCACACTAGTTTATACAGAGGCAGCTCGTAGTTTTTCGCAAAACTTAGAAAAGCATCGTATATGTCTGAACCGCGAGTGGTTTCTTTCAAAGGTATGATTGTTAAGAACTCTTCTTTAGACGACGTATCTGGAAATGCCATCCGAATAAACACACATAGCTGGGCAGTGTCAATCATATCAGTGGATTCATCAAATTGTAAAGAAAAGAATGAACATCTCATAATATCACTTTTTAGCTTTTGCTCGATATCACTGTTCATGAGCTCAACACGTCTAGTTACAGTCCGACGAGACAACTGGAGCTCTTTTATGGCAGACATGATTTCAGTTTTATTTTTAAAGTCGCCAAATAATGAATTTGCGCCTTCGAGAAATGCTTTTTTCAATACCTCGCCATCTTCAAAGGGTTTTTTGTGTTTTGCCAATATATGAGATATTTTGAAGGACGCAACTGTCGCAGCTTCCGATTGTTTACTTGGCCTGGTAAACATAGCTTGCTCGGCCTTCAAGCTACCTTTCAGATCTTGAACTTTCTGACGTCTTATTTCACTTTTGAGAGGAAAATCACTTTCGTAAATTTTATGCAAGGATTTATGATGCCTTTCTAAGTTGCCGCGTTTAGGCAAAGCTACTGAAGCTCGACAAACAAGACAAATACACTTGTCTTTCACCATGGTAAATAAGAATTCTTCTTCCCATTCATCGTTGAAATGATAAGTTTTACTTTTTTTTGGCGCACTCATTTTAAATAATAGTTACCAACTTCATTCTCTCCTTTAGTTACCCTCAGTACAAAATATATTCATGAGCAGCACGAAGTCACACGATCACGAAAGTTATTGGGAAACATAAACAAGTACAGAATCCAGAATCACGACATGACGTCTCACCGAAACCAAAATCTGTGCGAGACTGGCGAACACGTGCCGGCCGTCGGCAATTGTCAAAGCAAAGTAAATCGGGCGGCAAGCATAAAGCTAATTCGCCGCCCGCACAGGTCAAAGGACGCCGCCGCGCCGTTTAACGAGCCGACACCGGCACACGTGCACAGTACAGCCGCAAATAAATCTGGTGCCTTCTTATTTCATATCGACATTTTCGCAGTGAAAGGTTGTTTGTTGACAAGTATTTTCTTCTTAAAGTTACGCGCGTGTAAAATAAAATGTTTTTTATGAACGCACTTTAGATACTGGTATTTTGACTGGTGAAAAGACCACTGTTATTGGAATTAGCCCAACACGTCAGTACATTTTTAGGAATGCGATCGACCATAGATTCCCTTGCGATCGACCGGTCGATCGCGATCGACCGTTTGCCCACCCCTGTTTTATATCAATGATCTGAAAAAAAAATTTTAACCGGTGACTACTTTATGATTCTTCATAAAGTAGTCACCGGTTAATTAGTTTTCAAACTAAATAAAAAACTCATATTCCATTTGTACTTTTTCTTATTTGTATTGATATCTAAGTTACGAGCTTTCAAATTTCAGTTTTTTAATATGTTAGTTAAAAGGAACGGAATTGACTGTCTGTGGTCTATTCGTTTCTTGCAAAATCAACATTTGCTAGAGTCGCCATCTAGTGGAGGTGCTTTTTTGTGCTTCGTTTTTTAAATACTTCCTCATTCACCAGCTGTCATTGTAGTCCAAATAGTAAAAAATCATAGTATTTGCAATAAATACAAAATATTAAATTAAAAAATAAAATAAAATTGTAAAAAAAAAATAAGTCAGATACTATAGAATACAGTTATCGGTTTCGTTACGATTTTTGCTCCACTTTGTATACTTAAAATTAAGGAGGCAAAAAGCATGGCCCATAGCCCATACATTTCAAATTTAAAAAGCATATATAACTGTCAAATTGACAGCAGCTAATGTCAATTGTGTGCAATTCATTTCATTCATTCACATTTTCTTTCTTTCGAATTCACAATTTGTCAATTTCTGTGTAATGTGTTGTGTGTGTGATAGTTAAATTTATATTCTATTTATATAATAATAACAATGAATTTTAAAATTTATGAATATATAATAAAACAAATATGATAATCGTGGCGACTGCAACTAGTAGTCTTCTTAGAACTCCTAAAATATTATTCAGTTTTTGATATTAGTTGAACTTAAGATTATTTATTATAAAAATGGATTGGATTATCTCGGATGAGTTGGGGCTTACTGTTGGCCATCTTGTGGGTTGGGGTGCAGCAGGCGCTATGATCGTGGGAGGTGTAGCCCCATATATTCCCCAATATAAACAGATTAAAAGGACACAAGACGCTGAAGGCTTCTCATTATATGTTTGCTTGGCACTCCTAATAGCAAACACTTTAAGAATATTGTTCTGGCAAGTTCTTTTTTGACACACAATTTATCTTTATTGCACACAAAACAACAACTAAACAGCGATAATAAGAAAGAAACTGTATGCAAAGGACTGCCATATTGCTAGCTAGAATATTTATAAACAAAAATTTATCTTATGCCTAAAACAATGTCTATTTACATATTTAATAACATGAAAACTATTTTATATGACATTTTTTGTTTTATTTATAAAGATCTCATTTGGGTGTTTATAAAAGTCTTTGTTCATAATTTATATATATTTTCAGGTTTGGTAAACGATATGAGTTACCACTACTAATTCAGAGTATTGTTATGAATGTCACAATGTTTGTGATGATCCATCTGTGTGTAACAGTTCGCAAAAAGAACCAAATAATAAGGGCAAGAGAGCGAATATTCACAGGTAATATTCCTTTTATCAATTTAAAATTTTATTATAACGGTCAAAATAACTTATTATATATTTTCATAATATCTATAAGGATTAGCATGTCAGTTGCTTGCACTAATTTGCTGATGATTAATAGTTATTTATTTGTTACATAATATTTAAGATTTTTCTATTACAAACCTATATATTTTTTGTTTTTCAATGATTTGATTTTATACTATTTACGATTTGAGTTTTATTTCTTGAGTATGTACTTACTTATTTATTTTATTTCCTATTCAGTTCATTAATATTATTTTATGTTCCGTTTGGTGGTTGGTGTAAACAATGATGGCATTAGGTGCAATATTTATGTTATATATACTGTTGTGTTGTGTAAATGGATCAGACCAGCCGGACGAAACAGCACGCTGGTTGGACCAACGTACCGGTATAACAACTAGAGAAAAACCGCATCGCTTTTATGGTAAGTTCAAATTTTTTTTTAATGTATGGTGTCTTATCGAATGCATATTCGTTCACATCTGAAAAATCAATTTAATTGTTTTTGTTTCAGTATACAATTTATCTTCATGCTTTGACATTATCATCTATGGATATTATTTGTGAATGTTGTGAATTTTCATTATTAATGCATTTTGATATTTGTAAAAGTTATTAAATGTTATTTGGTTATTATTGTTATTTTGTTATCATTTTCATCCTGCTTTACTTGGATTAATATACATAGAAGCATGCAGAGTGTTGTACAATGTTTTTGGTTTATATTATCAATCATTGTATTATTCAAACAAGTGGTTTTGGAAAAGCCACACATTTTGTATTCATTAAATTATAATAAACCATTGACACAATATTAAACTTATGAAAAATATAAAGAAAAACATATTTTTGAACATCTTTCATATACATCACACAGTACTGGTGTAAATGTTCCTAATAAACAGAATAAAAAAATGCCATATTTTTATCTTTTGTAGTTATTTACTTTTGCCTTTTATTTACATAACAAATAAAAGACTTACTGCATGTTTTGTAGTATAATCAGCTGAGAAAATCGCAACTGATTATTCTCAATAACTTAAGGTTTTTTTATGTTTCACATGGCAAAAAGTCCTAGTTATATCAAACTGCCATCAACTGTTCAATTAAAAATATTAAAACCAGAAACAAAAACCTATTTAAGTTACTTTGAAGATAGTTTAACTACATTTTGACACATGCTTAACTTTAAATTCTCAGTTCAGAAAATAAGAAATAGTATATTTTGCATTTTTTTATGTCACAAAGACATTGAGTGCCGTAATTATGCTTTTATAATAACTAGAAATATGTATAAATAGAACATACAATTAAAAAAGGGGTGAATAAAGCACACAGCGCTCATACCTACTTAAGTACAAGTCATTTTGTGTAAAAAACTAAAATAGAAAAAAAAATATGTTTTTAAGCCTTTTTTACCATTTGAATCGTAATAATATTTTAAATCACATTACATGAATGATATAAACTACACTATAGGTATATACCGATAAATGGTTCAACGTTCTTTATGTTATCTATTAAATATACATTTTAACTAATTGTTGCCTATTATAATTGAGTAGTGGTCGGGTCAAATCATCTGATATCGTAAATTGATATGACACGAGATTTACTATTAACTTGTGCACGTCACACTATAAATGCTTTAGCACTTCCTTGATGCGTTATTAGTTCTCCCAAATTATTTTTTTGACACGATCTCCTTTTAGTTTATTCTAATTTTCATTAGAACAATTTTTTTTTCTGCCGTTAATGTTATATATTGTAATTGTAAACAATATTTTCAATGTATTAATAAACTATTAATACTCTCTTTAAGGCAGGGGTGGGCAGACTTTCATTAATGGCGATCTATATCAATAAATTGAGACGACAAGCGATCGACTTGCAATAAGACAATATTTTTTTATGTTAAATCGTTTATTGTAGGTATTGCGCACATATCACTATTTAAATATACTTTTATTTACAATTAAAGAAGTACAGTTTCTTATTATACAAGTTAATAACTAATAACTACTAAAAATAAGTATGAAGCCAATCACATGAACTAAGAGTGTTTTTATCAGTTTTCGGGCCTCTCTGGACTGATTTACTTAGAGGTCGATGCATGGCACTGCGTATTTTCTGCTAATTTCTCATAGGAAGGCACGTATTTAGTAAGTGCCAAACATAAACAGGAAGACAAATGTTCGTCGGTAAGTCGATTGCGGTATTTGGATTTAATTATTTTCATTTCAGAAAACGCAGATTCGCACAAATACGTCGACCCAAACAAAGCAGTTAATTGCTGTGCGATTTGTTGGAGACTTGGGTATTTTTCTTGGGTCAAAAGAGACCAAAAACTGATATCTGTTGCTTTGGCTTTTAGGTGAACATCTGAAATGATCTGTATCATCTCGTTTTCGAGAGAAGACAAATCCATGTCAAAAGTGTTCGATATTTCAGAAGCAGTAATTTCAACATCCACACAAGAAAAAGGATAAATCATGAAAGTAACAACGTTCGTCAATTTTTGTAAGTCAGAAAAACGTCTTTCAAACTCGCTGAGAATATTTCCAAGTTCTGTTTCGTATTTATTATAATTTATTACGGCGCTTGTTTTTGCTTTCAAACACGCAAAATTTTTCAAGTCCTTTTTTTTCAGTTGGTTGATCAGAAGCTGCAATTTACTTTTAAATGAGTTAATTGTGCTAATCATGTCCATAATAGTTTTATCTTTCCCTTGTAGCTCCAGGTTTATAGAATTCAAATGACCAGTCACATCAGTAAGGAAAGCCAAATCACACAGCCAACTTTCACTTTTAAGAATCTCCGTGTCATCACCCCTTTGATCCAGAAAAGAAATGATTTCAGGTAGTAATTCTTGAAACCGTTCTAAGAACTTCCCCGGCTCAGCCACCTTACGTCAGTATGGAGCAATAAATCTGTGTGCTCAGATTCGCTGGCCTCCAATTGCACTTTGAAGAGTCGTCGTTGCAAGCTTCTGGCTCGTATAGAATTTACGATCTTCATAGTGATGCTCATCACATCTGCCATGTTCAGTACTTTCGAACACAACACCTGCTGATGAATGACGCAATGAAAAGAAAAAAAAGATGGGAAGTCTTCATTAGCTCTGCACAGTGCCACAAATCCATTAGTCTTTCCAGTCATTGATGGTGCTCCATCTGTTGTTATGCACACTAGTTTATACAGAGGCAGCTCGTAGTTTTTCGCAAAACTTAGAAAAGCATCGTATATGTCTGAACCGCGAGTGGTTTCTTTCAAAGGTATGATTGTTAAGAACTCTTCTTTAGACGACGTATCTGGAAATGCCATCCGAATAAACACACATAGCTGGGCAGTGTCAATCATATCAGTGGATTCATCAAATTGTAAAGAAAAGAATGAACATCTCATAATATCACTTTTTAGCTTTTGCTCGATATCACTGTTCATGAGCTCAACACGTCTAGTTACAGTCCGACGAGACAACTGGAGCTCTTTTATGGCAGACATGATTTCAGTTTTATTTTTAAAGTCGCCAAATAATGAATTTGCGCCTTCGAGAAATGCTTTTTTCAATACCTCGCCATCTTCAAAGGGTTTTTTGTGTTTTGCCAATATATGAGATATTTTGAAGGACGCAACTGTCGCAGCTTCCGATTGTTTACTTGGCCTGGTAAACATAGCTTGCTCGGCCTTCAAGCTACCTTTCAGATCTTGAACTTTCTGACGTCTTATTTCACTTTTGAGAGGAAAATCACTTTCGTAAATTTTATGCAAGGATTTATGATGCCTTTCTAAGTTGCCGCGTTTAGGCAAAGCTACTGAAGCTCGACAAACAAGACAAATACACTTGTCTTTCACCATGGTAAATAAGAATTCTTCTTCCCATTCATCGTTGAAATGATAAGTTTTACTTTTTTTTGGCGCACTCATTTTAAATAATAGTTACCAACTTCATTCTCTCCTTTAGTTACCCTCAGTACAAAATATATTCATGAGCAGCACGAAGTCACACGATCACGAAAGTTATTGGGAAACATAAACAAGTACAGAATCCAGAATCACGACATGACGTCTCACCGAAACCAAAATCTGTGCGAGACTGGCGAACACGTGCCGGCCGTCGGCAATTGTCAAAGCAAAGTAAATCGGGCGGCAAGCATAAAGCTAATTCGCCGCCCGCACAGGTCAAAGGACGCCGCCGCGCCGTTTAACGAGCCGACACCGGCACACGTGCACAGTACAGCCGCAAATAAATCTGGTGCCTTCTTATTTCATATCGACATTTTCGCAGTGAAAGGTTGTTTGTTGACAAGTATTTTCTTCTTAAAGTTACGCGCGTGTAAAATAAAATGTTTTTTATGAACGCACTTTAGATACTGGTATTTTGACTGGTGAAAAGACCACTGTTATTGGAATTAGCCCAACACGTCAGTACATTTTTAGGAATGCGATCGACCATAGATTCCCTTGCGATCGACCGGTCGATCGCGATCGACCGTTTGCCCACCCCTGCTTTAAGGCATCGTGATATGAGTAATTACGCCATCGTTTTAAAATGGCGCGTAGGTACAGTAAAAAGAAAAACATCTTTTAATTGGTTCTAAACAAAGAAATAACGTCCAAAAAAAGCTATAATTAAAAAAAGACAAAACTATTTCATATTGGTTTATCGTGCTTCGGAAGGCACGTTAAGCCATTGGTCCCGGCTGCATTTGCAGTCGTTAATACCCTCCAATCCGCATTGGGCCAACGTGGAGGGTTATGGCCCATCCTCCTTAACCATTCATAAGGAAGGCCTGAGCCCCTGCAGTGGGGACTTAAAAGGGCTGGTGATGATGTGATGATGATTTCATATTAATAAGAGCGTGAAAATGTCATCCTTTTTTCAATTTTTCCTCATTATTTGATTTCTTCTCGTAATTATTTATTTAAAAAATCTGGTAGTGTCACCTTGTAACCGAGGCAGGTATGCAACATTTTTACGATTATCATAATGGTTTACGAGTAAATAATATTTTTTTTTTTCTACTGTCAATTACTATTTTTGATTAACCACTCGTAAACAGCCGAACGCTTGTGTTCCATTCCTCTGAACAACCTAACGACCACCTCAATTTCTAATTAATTATTCGTCAGTTGGTTGTGTCAGTAACATTAATTAATAACCGTCCTAGGCTCGAAATTCGTATTCCCGTTTACCACACCGTATTGCCCGTGGTACGCATTAAATGGACTAAGATTACAAGGGGTTACTTGACTATAAATATGCTGAATATATACTATACATCTCGTTAATTTATATATTTACATTTATGCCAGTTTAAAATTAATGTTGAATAATTATCGGTATTATAAATTAGATTTCAGAATTTACGTTGAGGACTTTCACTTTTTTTATTTTTATTGGCACAATGTATTGTTTAATATATAAATGAAAAAAAAAAAAGATATTTTACTCATGTTCTGTGTGCAAATGAACTAAATTTGTATTATAATTTATTGTTCACATATGAAAACATAAGTACATATATAATAGTAAAATAGTCGTTCACACATCACGAACTAAATTCTGTATTTATCACTATACGTTTATTTCTTGTTCTTAACGCAAGTTTTTTGTTCAATCATATAAAATCATATTGTATACCTTTGTGTACAGGGTGCATATAAACAATTTAAACCTTCAATTTTACAAAATGTCTCTTTTATTTCCTGGTAATAAACGCCCATAAAAATTTAGAAACAAACATTCAAAATATTCAAGTCGCAACAAAATATATATTTTTGTTAATATTACTGAATGCTTTAAACTACAAACTATATCACTATTAATAAATAATAAGTTACTTTACCATATGCTTGAATTGTAAATATGCAGTTCATACAACTTTATTTTTAAACTAACAACTGCTGGTAACTGTCTCGTTCCAGATATGGAGAGGAAATATTTCTGGGCGTGGACGGACTTCCAGAGTTACCTAGACTGCATGCTGGTGTTCTCTGTGTTCGGTGCCGCAGTCACATATCTCCTAATAGAGTTTTCACCGTTCGTGGAGCTAATAGGGTTCCTTGCGGTATTCACGGAGGCAATGCTGGGCGCACCGCAAATTGCCAAAAACCATCAAAATAAAAGCACAGAAGGGATGAGGTAATTTCTTTTTATTTATTTATTTGTTTGTTTCTTTTATATCTATAAACTTTATTGCACACAGTAAAGATGGCGGACTTAATGCCTTTAAGCATTCTCTACCAGTCAATAATATACAGATAATACATGAGGTGGTGCGTAAAGATCAACTGGAAATCGATTAATATAAAATCGGTTTTAAACATGATATTAGACAAATAATAACATCTAACTTCTTTTATTTTTTACTATTCGTCATTGTTATAATTAAACGGTTTTAATTTTTATTGAATTAAGTATAACTTATTTGCTACAATTAAGGAACCTTGAGAAGACTGAATAACATCACAGCGGAAAATAAATTCTGTTTGAATGATTAGTTAACAATGTTGCACTTGTGTTAAAATTAGCTTTCAATATGTTTATTTTCGTTATAAAATCTGACGTACATTGTTGCTATACATACACGTGGACTGTAGTTTTATGTAAATATTATGTATTATAGTTTTCGCGTTGTTGAGAAATTCAAATGTACTTAAACGTTGTTAATATGTATTTCCGTGTATAATTTTGTTAGTTGTTAGTTGCGCTTAGATAATTAATATGAATTTAATTTCATGAAGAGTGTTTTTTTATTTTTTATTTGAACATCTGTTTCATTATTTTTTTTTAGAACAAATCTTATCCATAAATCTAAACCTTTTATCTATTATTAATACATTTACATTCAATGACACATGTGTTTTACACCTAAATACATAAAGATAAATAATTTCATTGTATTCAGTCAGTGACTGTCTTACAGTTCTGTTTGCCCGATAACTTAAGTACCTATACCGTATACTCAACTGATATCGAAGAACAAATCTACCGCGACATTGGTTATATTTGTTTCTTAACGTCTCCTTAACAACAATATACTGGGAATAAATCATTATACCGCTGATGCTGCAATTAAATGGATTTCATCACAACAATCGCACGTAGACTATGTATACAATTACCTGCAGTACGTTCGACTTCGTAAAGTTGTAATATAAACTAGATCACGTGCATATAAAGTCACGACTGCAGCTGACCGCGTGAAGTTAATATTGCGACTGAATTAAATTAAACATACAACTGCATGCAGTTGAATATGTTGTCTACGTGCAATTGCTGCGATCTAGTTCGTCTGACCTATCAGTGACCACGAGCGTTACCATGAGTGGTTTGACGGTCTCGCGCACGAAGTACTCTACCGGAAACGAGCAAAAAAATTACTAATTAAAAATTAAGGGGGCCCTTTTAATAATATTTTATTCTGGTGTTAAAAATTTGCTGTTGAAGCGGCAACAGTAATACATAATCTGTGAAAATTTCAACTGTGCAACTTTCACAGCCTGGTGACAGACAGACTGAAATCCTAAAAACTACTCTTATAGCAGAGTTTCATCATCACAATTAATTTAGGTTCATGACGTAACTAAGGCTTCAGTAATTTAAATGTGATACTAGCAGTCAGTAGCCTTTTCTGATCCTGGACGAATAGTAGCATTTACACTCGCCTATTTCAACCTGTTTTTAGGGTTCTGTTCCAAAAGGTAAAACGGAACCCTGTTACTAAGACTTCGCTGTCTATCACCAAGCTTTAACTTATGAACCGTCAAAATTAGACAGTTGAAAATTTCACGGATGATGCATTTCAGCTGCCACTTCAACAATAAATGTTAAAAACCAGAATAATATAAATATTTACGGAGGTCCCATACAACAACGTGATTTTTTTGCAGTCACCAATCCATCTTATCAACCGTGATAATTATATAGCTGAGATTTTCACAGATGATGTATTACTGTCGCTGCTATTACAACATATACAACAAACGTGATGTTTTGCTCGTTTTCGGTGGCTGTTTTTTTTATATGTTCCGGTTATATTTATCTGAACTATAAATAAACTGCTGATAAGGTAAAGTCGTAAATGTAATGCCGCTCTTAATGGCAGATAAAGGCTTCACTTAAAACTAATTTCAGCATCATAAATGTGAAATATCAATTAAAAATAATCGTATGTGCTTTTTCCAGCGTCAGCATGGTGGTCATGTGGACATGTGGTGACATATTCAAGACTGCATATTTCGTTTTAAGAGAGGCACCAACACAATTTTGGGTGTGTGGGAGTCTTCAAGTCACTCTAGATATAGTAATACTCTTCCAAGTAAGTCTTTCTTTGTTTATCTGTGAAATAATATTGATATTATATTTTGATGAATGGTGATGCATAGTATAACAATCTAGTTTAAAAATATCATTATCAGAAAGTATATTAATTCCCTTATCAATATGTTTCTCTATCGATATAAATACATAGAAAGATATAGTAATAACAACATAACTCACTACGCCGGCTTAATGCAGGGGGCTATTGTCTAATTTTAAAATATATCGCCATGTCTTTCAGTTTGACATTTGAAAGATATTCACGGCCTTGTCATTCTCTTTGGATAGGAGCGCTAGTGACCTGTGTAACGGGTTTTGTTAAAAAAGACCTATTTCAGACACCAGCTCTTCACAGTAAGGATATATACAAGGAGTTTATAATTCCTATATTGTTCTAAAAAAAACCTATTGTGAATAGTAAATAAATGAATGTATTTTTTTTTCACACTACAACTATTTGACATGTGACTGCGATCGCTAGCAATTTTTGAAAGATATTGAATGAACGATAAGGTTAATTTAACGTTAATTGGAATTGTCTAAGGTAAGGCTATTTAGAAATGTAAAACGAAAGAATTAAATGCAATCTGCAATGCATCGACGGGTTTAGCTAAGTTTTTATTATATTTCTTGATCTTGACTCAAATCATTATTCGTTCCGAAAGTGGTAACCACTTGAAACGTTACATAATACATAATTCATGTATTAGTATCCCAAATGCTATACTTTTAAAAAGGATTCAGATGTAGTATTTTGAAATCAAACATTGTGCCGAGACCAATATTTTAACAAGCTTTTAGAAGCTAATTACCAGTTTTTGCTTAATATGATTAACTGTAGCTATATATTACGTGAACTAGGCGTAGTGGATAAGCGCCGCGGCCTGTGATGGTTGTTTTTAAGCAACTTTCGCGAAGTCAGTCACGATATGGGTGACCAAAAAATTATATTGTCTGCCATCAGGTGTGGTTGTATCGCCATAACACGGCAGCAGCACGCCGAGTGCGTCGCGGCGACTAGCAGTGGACTGAAACTGACTTATAGCAGTCGCCGCGCAATATACACTACACTCGTTCGCGAAACACACTACACTACGCGTGTCCACGCAAAAATTTACACTATCGCCGACGAAGACTCCGCTCACACAGCTGCTTATGACGTCGTCACCACTCTTCAAGAGGTTGTATATGATTGAGCATAACCTATAGAGCGATTTATCTACCTACAATTGTTTGTGTAGATTAAAATCTACTGTCTTAAACCAGAATTTCTCAAAGTATTTTGTTTGTAACGGTTGACTGTTGAATTTAATTTAATTCTACATTAAAATCGAGTTTTACAATATTCGTACTCAATTCTGAGAAGAAGCAATAATTTTGTATTGTTAAATAAATATGCTTTAGCAACATTAAAATTAAATACTTATCATTGTTTTTGACGTTCAATGTTTGACAAACTCTGTCTTATGGATGTGTATGATCGGAAACGTCTCTACTCATTTAATTCAGATAAATACATATAATGTATTTATGTGATAAATCTTTTGAAAATTAAATGCGTTTAATGATTATTTTTCACTCTTACAAAATTACTCGTACTTTGGAGTTCCGGAAGTGCGGTGCTAAAGGTTTGTGCCTCAAAACAAATAATAAAAAAAAAAAAAAAAGACCAACGATGTTTCTATATTCCTCGATAAGTTAAAGGAGTTTTTAATAGACTTACCATGAATTTCGAAGAGATTTTGAAATTTTACCTTGTTAGTGTTTTACTAGTCTTTCTTTAAGCAAAACTAACATTTACACTAGGTAAGTGACAGCTTATTGTAATCATAGCGTAATTTTATCAACGAATGAAAAATAAAAAATTAAATTCAGTACATTGATATTTATTGTAATTATCGTTAATTTCTATGAAATGTAATGTGACGCTATAATATTATCTTAATATTATTTCATAAGTTCAAGTACATAAGTACAAGTTAATTACTATTTATGTATAGATATACATAGTTTAATTTAAAAAATACTTTAAATTATTGGGCTAATGAGGACATTGTCAATATTTTCATCTCATATAGATGTAAAGATTGAAATGTGACCATGCATTTAGAAGTTATTCCTTTGAACAAAGATAAAAAAACGTTAATACCATAGACCAGGGGTCGGCAAATTTATGAGACAGAAAAGTAAAAACTACATATTATAAAATATCGTATTTTCAAAACAGCCACTGAATGATTTTTTTAAATCTTTATATTCAAAATCCTATTTGAGATTTCATTTAAAGTAAACATCCATCTTTAAACATCTATCTCTTATAGTATTATAGTACTCAACTGTGGGTCGATTACACGATCTAAAGGATTTCATCGGTACAATACATTTTGTTAATAGAACTTGCGAATTACAATTTTGCAACGAAAGATCACATCGTTATCCGCAGGTTGCCAACACCTGCTTTGAACAAATCTGCTTATATTCACTCTGTATTTACTCTTGTGTTTATAATTAAATGACTATGCAATAAACCAATAAAAGCGACCGAAACAAGATGCGCATGTAACTGTAACCAATTTTACTATTTTAATTAATTAATCATAACTATAATTTACAATGCTTCCGGTAATTTATAAAAAAAAAACTGTGATAAATTTCATATACAGTGTCGTCATTCCCAAATCAAAAACTGTCAAAATCTATTTAGCTCGAATAAAAGTAAAATTATATGTTAAAAAGTATGTGTAGTGTATTAGGCATTGGGTTGTATGAATTAAAACGGTTTGCTCTAGAAAAAGGATGAAATTATTATTAAAATAAATACTTTTTTATAGAAATGTTAAGAACTTGCGGGCGGTTTAATTTTATTATTCCAGTCTTATAATAATAGTGTTATGATAGTTAACTTCATTGTTATGTTAGAGTGAAATATAATATTACATTACGATATTAATGCGTTATGATGGTTATAACACGCGAGGCGGAATTTCAGCCCGAGCCGAAGGCGAGGGCGTAATTGAGCCGAACATGTTATAACCAATACGCACGTATATCGTACGACGTTTTTTAACACATTTGCGAGGAAACAGAAAAAGAAACATTAAATAAACTCAATCTGTGAATGTACACTGTTGCTTTCCCGCCATTTTAACAGCGCACTAGCGCTGCCTACTTACTGGCGCCGCGCGGCGATTAGTTCGAAATTTGAATAGCAACAGCGCGCGAAATGGAAAATAATACTGTTATGGAATTTGTATGGACTATAACTTAACTATTTGGTTTGGTAACACACGCGTTTTTTATGACCGGCTTTTCATATTTAAAACCGGTGGAATTACATCAGCTTTACGAGCAAAGGTGTTAAAAATTAATATTTACATAATTTATATTTCACTCTCATTACCCAGGGCTGAATTTTTATCGTTAGATAACAATCTTTTCGATTATTTATTTTTTAAATAACCAAATACTATTGACTATAACTTAAATATAATATGTATATAGCAAAAAATGTTATAGGATCTTTTTTTAAATTAGACTGAAAATTTCTGCAAATTTTAAAGCTTATATTCATAAAATAATAAGTATTATCAATGTTTGTGAATTACTGAAAGGATAGCCATCTGTTAGCTTTTTAATTTTATTAATAAAACAATTGAAGCTAAAGTAAGTGTAATGGTTGTATTTGCAATATTCAATTAGTACTAAAGGTTATAGCATGCCAAACAACACAGCTCCAACCCAACAGTTATCGTGCCGTGTAAATGTGTGTAAATGACCTTAATAATTGTACGAATTGAATTCCTATTGTAATTAAACTAAACTTGTATGCATTTGCCAATGCCTTGTTTGTAGTCAGTTAACTAATTGAGATTCGATTTTTTTTGTAACAAGCCAAATGCTTATATAAATTAATAATTAGTCATTATATTTCCCTCCTCGGAAAATCCTTTATTATATTAAATCAGGAATTAATTATATTGACTAGGTTTAATTATCTGACTATTATGTAATTTGATGTTAACATTTTTATGAGACACTACTTACTTTTATCATCTAATACCTACTGGGAGCCAATTCTACTAAATAAATTTTGTTAAAATCGAATCGAAAACGGATCGAAACCGAACGAAACTACAGTTTTTAATGGTTTTCTATTCTACTAAGTAAAATATGATACAATTCAAGCTAAAATAGAACTGGAATTGTATCGTATGTCACTTAGTAGTATAGGAAAATAATTAAAAACTGTCGTTTTCGATTCGATTTAAACAAAATTGATTTATTAGAATTGGCCCCCTGGTCGGTGCACAATAAAACCCTTTATTGTAGCGATTTGACTGCGCAGTCTGTGTACGTAGTTTTATATATAATAAAGATGAAAACTGTCGCAGATCTTTTTTTACTGTAAATGGACCGCGCAGTCAGTGTTACTATAAATAGTTGTGTGGACCGGCTTTAATAATTTTTTGGTGAAGTAGATTGGAGTGTGAGGCTATACCTTATTTTACACCGACTTCGTAGCAATTTTTTTTTTAAATATTTTCTTGAATGTGTTGATACATTTTTTTTCCCGACACAGGAAATATCATTCAACGTAGAAAGTGTCTCCAATGACTCTATTAAAATAAAAAGCATTTTAATATCCTTTTTGGATATTTTTTTAATAATCATCTTTTCGTACATGTAGTATATGTTCGCGAATTAGCGGAGTAGAATATGTATGCAGGGCAGAGCGCCTTTTATTTCAATTGCAATTGACCATTTTGCTTTCTCTAACCCACTATTGTCTCGTGTAACCTCTTGTATTTAGTCGCTCCTTTTCACTCGGGTCTACTCCACTTCATCCGCCTCAATAGTGTCACTTTTCTAACTTAATGGCATACGTTTGTATTGTTAATACCAGCTTGAAATTAATTAGTATTAGATTTAGTTAATATAAAAAATCGTAATGAAATTTATTTAAATACGTGATATGTATATACGAGATGTTAAAGCAAATAAGTACCTATTTAGTTTTAATTAAGCTAGATTTAGGAAAGTAATATGGGAAGTACTGCTACTACAACTGTTTTCATTATCGATAGTTTAAACTAGCGTAATTTAAAAAAAATGTCCGAGAGGCAGTCATTTATTTAGTATATCTCCATATATTATTCCTAATTTAATTCAGTTTAAGTATTGTTGTGATATTTTAGTATTTAAGTGTAATATGCAAATACCTACATGTACAAATTGAGAGTCATTTCATTACTTTATTTTTATATTAAATTAAAGTTGAGTTTTTAATAAAAGTTTTCACTAAATTTAAAAGTTGTCATTAACTTTTTAAATACTAACATTCCAAAATGTGTCTAGGAAGAATTGAAATGTAACTTTTGGATAGGATTATAAACATAGTATAAAACACAGTTGCTTCCCGCTGTCTGTACGTTAGGATCTTAAATTACACTACAGATTTAAATGCATATACATAGACTACGATGGGATAAATATCTTTTAAAAGGGGCGCAATGTCAACTTTCTGCTCTGGTTGGTAATAGTCGTAGATCCGGGCCTGACAAATGTAGTAGTTAATGAAATTAATTACCGTCTTTTCACTCATGATATTTATTATTTATATAGAATAAAATACAAATAATCATATTTTGTATAACTGTTTGTATGTGACTCCGGAGTGACTGAAAAATATTAATATGTTTGTTTTGCGTATATTCATAGTTTTCCTTAAATGCCAACGCGAGAGCAATTCTCTTGACGTAATGTACTATAAAGTATATAAAAACAATGTATCGATTCGCGCTAAAATTATGTTTTTTATCCTAGATATGTCTAGAGCCTCTGTTTAGTTCTGGGCGTGAGTTGAGGTTCCACTCCGCCGTTATTGGATAACTCGACAAGTTCATAGTTTTTTTAGATACATTTTTTTACGTTGGATTTATAATACAATTAAAATTGCGTATTTCATACCAACAATTATTTTGATTTTTATAAATGAATGAATATTTATCCTGTATTGCACATAAAAAAAAATCCTTCGATTTCCTTTGTGCCATAGTTAAAATAAATTTATTTAAGTATATGTACTAAAACTAAAATAGTGTAACTGCGAAATTGAGCCAATTGTTATGTATTCAGATTGTAATATAATAAGGTACACAATCACTTTGAGGATAATGTTATCAACAACAATATTAGCAAATAATTGTATTATTTGTATGAACTGTTTGTATTAAAATGAGATAACTCGCAATTTTTCACTTCCAAAGTAATAGAAATAAATTATTTTTATCATTTGATATACTCAAAGTCTTCCTTGCGCAATGTGTTTTATTCTCATATATTTTATTGTTATTTGAAAGCTTATATTAACGATTAACCTTTTGTTTTGCAATATTCTAAGTAAGAAATACATTATTTAAACTATAAAGTATGATTGGGAGTTCTTTAACATCTTTAGTTTGTTAATATAACGTAAGTATATCTTTCTTTTTACTCAATTGACATATACACATATATTCGTAATTAGTTTAAAAAAAAATAAAAGAACTTAAACAAAGACTAACTCGATGAAGAACTTCCGATCACAGTAAAATAACCTCAACGTGAGAGAAGATATTTATTTATGTGTGACGAAACATATCATATTTATATATTGAAATTGAGTAATATATTGTATTGTATAGTTTAGAATCCAATTAAATTATATACTACTAAGTAGCTGATCGACAGACGTAGGTATGTATGTTGTGATTTTATTAATTATGGATTCTTATACCTACGAAATACAGTTATATTGTTTAAAAAAAACAGCCTTTTTCTTTACCTTACCTTTTAAAGTATGAAATTGCCGATTTGCACTAAAAATCAAAATTGTTTACTTTTAATTTTTAACAAATTTATTTAATCAAAATAGTTACCATTTTTATCTTTACATTGCTGCCATCTAATAGGAAGGTCATTTATGCCTTTGCGATAGAACTCTGAGGATCTAGACTGCGTGTGTGAAAGCATTTTGTA